CACCTCTTCAATTTAAATACAGAACAGATCATCTGGGAAGCTGGGTTCTATGTGGAGGAATGTGGCATCACAATTGCAGGAAGATTCATCAATAAGCTGTCTTATGCAGATGACACAACCTTGCTTGAAACTGAAGAGGAGCTGAGGCATATGGTGCAGAAGGTCAAAGACTACAGCCTTCAATGTGGACTGAAGCTCAACATCAAGAAAACAAAGATTCTGGGTCATCTGGCAGCATCATGATAAATGGGGAAGAGACTGAGATTGTTAACAGCTTCAGCTTGGTTGGCTTCACAATCAACACTCTTGGCACCAGCAGCCAGGAAATCAAAAGATGAACTATACTGGGAAAATCTGTTGTCAAATACCTCTCCAGAGTACTGACGAGCAATAATGTCAGTCTGGAGACTAAGGCCAGTGTCCAGGCCATGTGGATTCAAGTAAATTTAAATGCTTGACAGACTGAAACTTTCTCCAACTATCATGATCTGTCTGCCCGTCCAATAGTGAGTGTTTTTGTTTTATTGATGTTGAGACGTAATCCTATAGAAAGTTGTGACCTTTGATCTTCTTCAGAAATTTATCTTCTAATCTTCACTTTCTGCAGGCAAGGCTATGTCATTCACAAAAAGCAGATTATTACTGAGTCTTTCTTCAAACTTGATGTCACATTCTTCTTCACAGAGTGCAGCTTCTTTTATTATTTGGTCAGAATACAGATATAATATGTACAGAGAAAGGATACAACTCTGATGCAAAACTTTATTATTTTAAACCATAAGGTATTCCCATGTTCTGTTCAAAGGATCAATTCTTAGTCTATATACACATTTTACGTTAGCACAATTAAGTGTACCAGAAGAATTCCTATTTGTCTCAACTTATCCATAATTTATTAAGATCCACAAAGCTGAATGCCTTTTTGTAATCAATTAAATACATACAAATATTCTTCTGGTATTCTCTGTTCTAGCCAAGATCCATCTGATAGAGCCTCTTCTAAATCCAGCTGGCAATTCTGGTAGTTTCTAGCCATTTTCTCATAATTTTCAGCAAGAATTTACTGGTATGTGATATTAACCATATTGCTCACCCTTTGAGGGGAAGGGGCGGGTAAACAAATACGAATATCCTCCAGTCAGTTGGTCGACCAGATAGCTATCTTCCAAATTTATTGGCATAAGAGTAGTAAGCACATTCAGAGCTGCATCTGTCTGATCTCAACTGGTATTCCATCATTTCTGGAGCCTAATTTTTTCTAATTACTTCAGTGCAGCTAAAACTTTTTACTTTATTACCATTGGTTCTTGATCGCATGCTACTTCCTCAAATGCTTCAATGTTGAACAATTTTTTTATAGGTCTCTGTGTATTCCCTTGAAGCTTCCTGCATCATTCAAGATTTAGCCCATAGAATCCTTCAGTATTATAATTCAAAGCTTGAGTGTGTTCTGCAGTTCCTTCAGTTTGAGAAATGCTGAGTGTTATTCCCTTCAGTTCTTCTAACTGCAGAATTTTGTGCACTTAGTTATGATAATTTGTTTTGTCTTCTAGAGTCGCCCTTTAAAATCTGTTAAGCTTTCTGATTTCATTATTTTTCCTCTTCATTTTGTCTTCTTTAAGTTGAAGAGTAAGTTTCAAAGTTTCTTCTGACATCCAATTTGACATTGCTTTCTTTCATGTCTTTTTATTAACCATGTGCTTTCTTCATGGATGATATCCGTGATGTCATCCCAAAACTCATTCTGCCTTTAGTCATTGGTGTTCATGTATCAAAGCTATTCTAGAAATATTTTTTAAAAATTCAAGGGGGATAAATTCAAGGTTGTACTTTAGCTCTCTTGGACCTATTTTAAATTTCTTCCATATAAATTTGAACTTGCATCTGAGTGTTTTCCACAATTAGCACCTGGCATTTCTTTGACTGCTAATATTGAATTTTTGCACAGATGTAATCACTCTAATTCCTAGAATTTCATCAAGTGAGATGCAGGTATATAATCATCATATGTGTCTTTAAAACAATAAATAAATAATAAATAAATCACTGAATAATGTTCTATCATGTGCTCTAGCCTTGTTTCTGTCACCAAGGTAATATTTTCCAACTACCCTAGAAGCAAGGATTTTGAAGCCGTGTCTCACATACTTTGGGCATGTGACCAGGAGGGCCCAGCCCTTTGAGAAGGACATCATGCTTGGAAGGGTGGAGGGACAGCACAGGAGAGTAAAATCCAGGATCAGATGAATTGAGTCTGTGACTGGAGAAATGGGATTATGTTTGTCAGAGACTATGAGACTGGCTCAGGATAGGGGAGGTTTCAGAGCTAGTTGCATAGGGTCTCTGTAAATCACAGGCAACGTGATAACACATAACAACATCAACAGTCTTTTTTTGTTTCCAATTTTTGCATTACAATCAACAATTTTTATTAATGCACCTAATTTAATATTTAATCCATTTCAGACTGCAGAAGTTGTTCGAAATCCTCAACTTCTTTATTCTTGGATTTAATAGCTGATGCATATACTTGAATAATAGTCATATAAAGAGGTCTTCCTTATAGGTGTGTGTATATAATCCTACCACTAACAGCAATACAGTTCAGCATAGATTTTTGAAATGCTTTGACAATGAATGTCTCTTTAAATTCTCACTCCTGGCATAGTACATCATATGACTGTCTAGTTTAAAATTACTAATAACCAGAACATCTCAGTTCACTAATGCAAAAGTTGTCAATCTTTATGCATTTCATTTTATTTTTGACAACTTCCAATATTCTTAGTTTCCTACTTCCTACATTCCACATTCCAATTATCAGTCAATATTTGCAGCTGTTTCTCCTCATTTGGAGAAACAAAATATAAAAAATAAAATACATAAAGGTCCTTCATTGAATGAAACTGTTACTCTATTCTTAACATTAAGGAAGACTCTACTTTGAGAGAGCAGCTCCTCCTCAGCTGTATTTTGAGTGCCTTCCACCTAAGGGGTCCACCTTCCAGCACTACACTCAACGGGGCTTCTACGTGATTCGCAGGTTTTCTAAACCCTGCTATTTCACAAGTGGATGGTGACTCATGCTTCTCAGTTTGTCTTAGTCTGAGAACTCTGCTGATACTTGTCTACAGTGGTTACCCTTCTGGTATTTGAATGACTAATAGTATATTGTCCCATATCACAGCAATGCACAAACCAATGATACAGCAAACTTATAGACTGTTATTTCTAGAGGAGACATGCTATCTATATAGGAGAAAATATGAAGGTAATCATGAGTCTGTCAAACCTTCAGTTGTATTATTAATCCATAGTAAGAACTACTAATATTTATGGTTAGCACAATCACTATGACAATTACAATTATTAATGACTGGCATTCTACAAGATATTTATTTTTACACATCGTTGTTTTTGTGGTGGTGGTTGTGACTGTGTACCACTGCGATGGAACCGAGCCATAGCTGACCCTCTGGTGGGTTTTTAGAGGCCGTTAATGCATGAAGGGAGATTGTCTATCCTTCTCCTGCATTTTTACACAGTATATCACTGAATAAAAATGTCACTATCACAGTCATTTCATTTTACTTTTAATAATATTTTTTATCTAACTGTGAGTTTTCCCTTCATGTGATGTTAAAAAGATTTACTCCTACTCTTATAAGTCACTTGATTATACCAGATGCCAAGATTTTTTTTCTGCAAATATAATTCTAATTAAATAAAGAAAATCACTGGTGAAGAGAGATTTAGATGTTCTCATTATAACACACTTTTGGCATCGTTAAAATCTTTAGGAAAACATATTCTTGCTATGAAGATGACACTGAATGCAAAGAAGGAAGCCCCAGCCCCTCCCAAAACTTAAGCCAAAGCAGAGGTGCTAAAGGCCAAGAATACAATCCTGAAGGGCATTCACAGCTGCAGAAAAAAGATCCACAGGTCACTCAACTTCTGGTGGCCTAGGAGTCCAAAAGCAGCCCAAACACCTGGAAGAGCACCTCCAGGAGAAACAAGCTTAATCACTGTGGCATCATCAAGTTTCCTCTGATGACTGAATCAGCCATGAAGAAGACAGAAGATAAGAGCACACTTGTCTTCACTGTGGATGGCAAGACCAACAAACACCAAATCAAACAAGTTGTGAAGAAGTTCTATGACAATGATGTGTCCAAGACCAGCACCTTCATTAGGCCTGATGGTGAAAAGACCTAGGTTCGACTTGCTCCTGACTTTGATGCTTTGGATGTTGGCAACAAAATTCAGATCATGTAAACAAAATCCAGATGGCTAATTCCAAATATAAATTTTTCTCATAAAAAAAAAAAAGAAAGAAAATGTAGTTCCATGTGATACTATTCACATGTCTCAAGGTGGGCTCTTATAGGCTTCTTCACATTTATGACCCTCCTACTGCAAAGAATGACTACTCCTTTATGGAAACAGTGAGGTTACACTCAGAGACTGAGAAAGAGAATAGTTAGGCAAAAAGTCCTATTATCGAGGACTGGGGATAGTCTCTAAGTCCTCGTAGAATGATTAGGAGAGCCTACACAGTGCAAGGTGAAGCACTTGGCTGCTAACCAAAAGACTGATGGTTCAAACACACTTGGAGCTCCGCAGGAGAAGGGCCTGCCGTGGGCTCTGTAAAGATTACAGTTTCCTGTCACACAGTGTTGCTATTAGTTGGCATCAACTCAATGGCACCTAACAACAAGAAGAATGACAAATACTCACAATTACACTTGGGAGCTGATTTTAAAAAAATGACATAAACCTCGCTTTTATCTACAAAATAATCCTTAATATACCAATGATTGATACTTATAGCATGCTTTGCTTTGTGTCAGATTCAAGCCATCACCATGAATGTATAAAATTGTCATTTATACACTCCATTAATTAGAATAATTTTAACTGTAGCAAACGTCTACAAAGTTTTAGTGTCCACTATTTTATAAAAAACATGAACACATACTTAGGATTCAATTGTATACCTGTTCTTGATTCTCCTTCATATCCTGTTCCACCTGGCTTCTTAAACCGTTTCAAAGATAATTCACCAATCCTTTCATTTTCAGCATTAATGGCTTTTTGGATTTCTTGTATCTCCTTTTTTCTGGCTGGAGGAAGTTCTTCAACTTTCTCTTTTGATTCACATTCATTGCTGCTAACATCATCATTATCATCTCCATCATCACAAATCTCAAAATCATCTTCATATTCCTACAAAGAATAACAATATGGTTGGAGCATTTTCAAACAAACTGACTTGATGATATAGTGCTAGAAAAAAAATCATAAAATTATACTTTAAAATGAACAAATTCCCCATTTATGATTAAGAAATATTTTTATAGTTCATTGATCTTAATTTTTTAAAAATATCTGTGTTTTACTGACTATGCAAAAGCCTTTAACTGTAAAGATAATAAAGGAGATGATTAACTCTGAGAATCCCAGAACATTTATTTATGCTCATATGATACAACAGAGGTTCTGTGAAAAAGACAAAGATCTTCAAAAGATAGACTGACACTGGCTGCAAGAGTAAGTTCAAATATAACAATGACTGAGAATGATGCAGATCTAGGCAGAATTTCACTCTGTTGTATGTAGGATCACAGTAAGGTTGTACGTCACTATGATTTTAATGTTTTTAAATTACAAATCTGTAGAAACTGCTCTTTCTAAAAATGAGATACATTATTTTTAGATAAACAATAACCTGATAAATGGAGAAAAGATTGAAGTTGGTAATTATCTCATTTTACTAGGATGCACAATCAACACCTACAGATGTAGCAGTCAAGAAATCAAACACCAGGCTAAGGCGCACCTGACTCCAAACAATATTTTCAACTACTCCATACACAGGTGGAAGGTGGACCATGAAGGACAGATGCCTCTGAATCGTGGTATTTACAGAGCAGACTGAATACATGATAAAATGGCAGGATGAACAAATCTGTCTTGGAAGAAGTGCAGTGAGACTGTTTTTTAGAGATTAGAATGGTGAGAGGTTATCTCACATACTCTGTGCAACTTATAAGGGGGGTTCATCCATGGACAGGGACTTCACATTTGTAAAAACAGAATGTTGGTAAGAGAGAATAATAGCCATGTTTACAGGTCTTCCTTATATGCATATGGATATTATACTATCATCCAAACATTGTATTTCAAGTCAGAACCTGAAATTTACTTTTTGACTATGAATGTATCACCATTCTTCTTCAGTTTTTCATTCCCTGCACAGTATAGCATATGATTATCTGATTCAAAGTGGCCAAAGTTGGTCCATCTTATCTCACAAATGCCTAGTAAGTTAATATCCATGTGTTACATTTAATTTTTAATAATTTCTAGTTTTTCAACATTCAAGCTATGTACATTCCATGTTCCAATTATTAAACAATGCTTGTTATTGTTTTTCCTCATTTCAACTGACTTCCAAAATGTGCTCTACCACTACACTACTATAACTATGCTCTTTCTTTAGTGTTCATAGGATTTTTAAAGGACTGTTATGTAGGAAGTAACATCCTTGATACCAGCAGTCAGGAAATAAGGAGACCCATTGCACTGGGAAAATCTGCAGTTAGGGAATTCTCCAAATTATTGATGAGTATTGATGTCAGTTTGAGGATTAAGGTGCATCTGATTAAGATCATGGTCTTTCTAATTACTTGTTATATCTGAGAGCTAGATAATGAATAATAAGGATGACAGAAAAAGCATCGATGCCTTTGAGCTATGGTGTTTGAGAAAAGCACTGAACATCTCATGGACAGCCAAGAGAACAAAACATCTTGGAAAAAGTGCAGCCAGAGTGTTCTTTGGAGGCTTCACCTCACATACTTTAGATATGTTGCTAGGAGGTGTTATTCCTTGGAAAAGGACATGATGTGGGGAAGGGTGGAGGGTCGGCAAAGGAGAGGAAGACCTTCAAAATCTGGTGGATTTATACGGTGACTGCTGCAATAGATTCTTGTGTGTCAGGAAGCGTGCAGATGGCACAGGACAGAACAGAGTTCAGACCTTTTGTTCATAGGGGCGCTAATAGTCGTACTAGACTCAACTGCACCTAACAACAATAAGAAAGAAGATCCACATGGATTAAACAGATTGACTACAACAAAGAGCTTAAGCCTGTGAGGATGGAATAGGATTGATGGTCATTATAAGTCAAGGTCAACAGCACCCAAAAACAACAACAAAATGGGCACAGATACAAAAAGGAATATTACAGATATTGCTTGCCAAAGCCAGAACATTTGGGTGTCTGTGGGGAAACAGGGGACTGAAACTTCAGTGGGGCAAGGGCCCTTCATGGAAATCCTTGCCTCTGCAGTTGCTGAGGCATCCCAGGGTTGAAACAGGACAAAAGAGTTTGGGACTGAAACTATTCAAGTGGTGCACCTGGTCTCATACCACTTAGCAACTCCCTAGAAAAAGGACAGGAAAGGGAGAAGAAATTACATTAAAACAAAGAGAATCTGAATAACTTTATGAAAGGCAAATTTTCCCAGAATGGACTTTCTTTAGAGTGAGTGGCTCTCCCCATTTGGCAACTAATCAATAGTATATAAAGGTAAGAATTACCAACAACTTACACAGACAAAATAGAAACAAGCTAACATGTTTCAAGAAAATCTTCACACAATGTAAAGAAAGCAGCAAGCAGCTTCAAATACTGTTGAAAAACAAATTAAGCCTTCTCAAAAAAAAAAAGCTGAGCATACTGCAAACCAAATGAATAACCCTGAGTCAGGAAATGAGAAGATATATATTGAGTCATATGAACAGCTGTAGAAAATGATGGAAGAAACAAAAGAAACCAGAAATAAAGGTAGCAGCTTGGATGAAGAAAACCATAAGAAATATACTGATGCTGAGTTATTTGGACAGCTATAAAAGAGCATTCAATTAATGAAGGAAATAATGGAAACCGTTAAGAAAACACTCAAGAGACACAAAGCCAGAAGAAATACATTGATGAGGAGGAACCTGCACAACTATGGAAGAAAATGCAAAAGATGGAAGAAAAAAAATGAAACTATAGATGAAGGATATAAGAACCTAAAAACACATTACAAGATAGAAAGGGTACAGCCAACGAAGAACTGGAAATAACATAAATTCCCCAAACTGCAATCCAGAATGTCAAGGCTGAAATGTCAGAAGTGTCCAACATGCTGGAGTGACAAAAAGAGTAGAACAGAACAGATGGAGCAGAGAGTCAGTGAAGTGGAAGGCAAATATCTCAATGGAACATACTAGAAGACAAATCAGAGCTGAGACATAAAGAATCATGTGGAATGACATCAAATGGAACAACATATGTATGCTTGGAATTCCAGAAGATGACAGGGACAGGGAAATCACTAAGAAAACTGTGGATGAGGTACTAAAAGAAAACTTCACAGAAATTATTAATAATGAAGAAATTCACATTCAAGAAGCTCAGGGAATACCAAATAGACTGGACCCAAAAAGAAAAGCATCAAGATATATCATATTCAAATTCTCCAAAATAAATCATAAGGACAGAATACTAAAAGGAGCATAAGAAAGGGGGGGAAGTCACCCACAAAGGAAAACCAATTAGATTAAGTTTTGATTTCTCAGCAGAAATCATACAGATGAGAAGACAATGGGATGGTACATGCAGAAAGTTGAAAGAAAACAATTGGCAACCAAAGATCCTATACCCAGCAATGTGCTCCATCAAATATAAAGGAGAAATCACATTCTTTGGAGAAAAGAAGAAACTTAAGTCTGTGAAAACAAGACCAAATCTACAAGAACTTTTAAGGAAGTCCTTCACAAGGAGACATCAAAGGAAAGTAGATGGATCATGGTAACAAGAAACAACAAAAAAAAAAAACGAAGAAACACAGCTCCAGGCCCTCCTTCTTACACCACCAAAGCCCCCAAGTCTAAATTGCTTTCCTTGTCGCATTCCAGACTATTTCTTAGGGCCTTTCTACTACAGCCTCATCGGGCCCACCCCCAACTCCGTTCTTCATGGCATTGCTCCTGTGCTGTGGGCCCAAGCTGGCTGACAGTGGCATCGTTCTCAGCACCTGGGGAGTGATCATGATGATAATGTTCAGAATCTTTTTTACAGTCCATTCTAGTCCATATTGAGAATATCCCCTCCACGAGAAAGATTTTAAGAATGCCTCCAGAATATATACAACCTATATGAGCAAGTGAGCTACAACTGTTTCATTACTGCGGGCCTTTACCTCCTCCTCAGAGACTTCTCTTTCTGCCAAGTTCAGCTCAGTAAGCACAAGGAATACATGGTGTGCTAGCGCACAGTCCAGTTTCCCCTTCCACTATTTAAAGACCCAGCCTATCAGGCATCCAGCCCCTCTGTTTCGTTCTGTACAATAAAGAGGAACTGCTCCCTTAAAAAAAAGAAAAGAAAAAGAAACACAGTAAAATGACAACAATAAAAGCTGGCCTGTCAATAATCACACATAATGTGTATGGACTAAATACACCAATCAAGAGAAAACGAATAGTAGAATGGACATTAAAAAAAAAAAAAGCCCATCTATATATTGTAAACAAGAGACACATCTAAAAAATGAAGAGAAAGATAGACTCAAGATCAAAGGCTAGAAAAAATATACCAAGCAAATGGCATCCACAAAAAAGCAGGAGTGGCAATACTAATCTCTGATAAAATGGACTTTAGGATGAAAACAACCATAAAAGACAAGGAAATGCACTATATAATGATTTAAGGCACAGTAGATCAAGAAGACATAACATTGGTCAAATCTATGCACCAAATGACAGACCTGCTAAATACACAATACAACTGTTACTTGAATTGAAGAAAGAGATAGACAGCACCACAATAGTGGTAAGAGATTTAAATATGCCACTCTAACCAAAAGATGGGTCAACTCAAAAGAAGCTAAACAAAGATGAAGAAGATTCAGCCAACTCAACCTTGTGTATGTACTCCAAGAACTGCACCCAACTAAAACTCAATTCACTTTCTCTCAAGTCCACATAGTACATTCTCCAGAACTGATCACATATTAGGGCACAAAGCAAGCCTCAACAAATCCAAAAACATGGAAATAATACAAAGTATCTTCTCAGACCACAATGCCTTAAAACTAGAAATTAAACACAAAAGGATAAAGCTTATAAACCACCAACAAGGAAACTAAGTAATACCTTACTAGAACATGACTGGGTTATAGAAGAGATGTTGTTCACTGCCCTTGAGTCAAGCATGACTAATAGGGACCCTATGAAAAAAAGACCTGAAGGGTTTAAGTTTCTCAAAGTTCATAGAGTTTCCTGAGGCATGCTGTTTAGCAAGTGGATGCTACTCCTACTTCCAAACCTGTATTAAACTGGGAGCCCCATAAACACTGTCCACCATGGTAACAGTTATGGCATTTGACACCCCAGTGGCACAAGGTTGAGCATCACAGCAACCGCAGGTTACTTCAGTACACCATACTGACAGAAGAGTGCTGTACCACTTAGAAGAAGGTTCCTACAAAATATAATAACAGCCAACTTTTAAATACAAAGACCTTCCAAGGTCTTGTTGACTCACAAAGAGGCTTAAATAAAAAAACAACCAATATAGTAGGTTGTTGTTGTTTTGTGCCACTGAGTTGTCTGCAACCCATAGTGACCCTATGTACAGCAGCTCTGAACCCTTCCCTGTCCTGAGCCATTCTCATTAACTCTGATACACCAACCCCCACTGCCCCAGAAACTATATCGATCCATCTCATTCAGGTTAGAGCTCCCTAAAGAACTCCTATGTTATTTTGTGTACCGCAGAATCAGAACCGACCCATAACTGACCCTCTGATGGGTTTTAAGAGGCAGTTAATCACACAAGAGGAGATTGCCCAGCCTTCTCCTGTAAAGCAGCTGGTGGCCTTGAACCACGTGCCTTCAAGATTGCAGCACAGATTCTATGGGGGAACAAACCTACTATACTTCTAGAAAAGACTTTTTTTCCTCTGAGCAAACACAGCTGTCCATCTTTATGATAGCTGTGGCTCTAACTTAGCCCACACAGGCACTGCTAATACCTCCCTAAGGGACAGAGAAAAGACATCTGTCAGGTAACATGTGTCTACCAGATTTTTTCTCAACCTCTTCTCTGTGGTTAAGAGTCTAGGAACATTTCCACACAGGAGATTTACTATTTGCTAGAGATATTAGTTTAAAAGGGAAAGGAATCGCTTCAACTATTTAGATCCTCCCAGAAGAGCTGTGGGTGAGCATTAACATTACTGGAAAGTATATTCGTTTTCTCCTGGACACAGAGCCTACTAATTGGTCCTAAACGCTTTCTGAGGTCCCAACTCTTCTCACTATTTCATAGTTGTTGGAATGGACGGAAAACCTCATAAGCAGTTCCTTACTTCACCTCTGCCTTGCATGTGGACTTCCGACTTGTAAAATAACCCAGTGGTAGATGGAATTTGCTCCAGGACTTAAGAACAGTAAATGACATAGCTGAGCCTCTACACTTGTGGTTCCTAACCTCTACACTATAATAGACAAAGTGCTAGTCTATAGGCCTTTTATTGTAAGAACCACCTTCCCTCTGTAACTTGATTTGTGCCACTGTTAGAACCTCTACTCGGAATATTATTGCTTTTTAATTTTTTACTCATGTACTTTCAACTTGTTAGTTAAATTTGTGTCTTCTAGGCTGCAACACTTCCATGATACATCTTCAAGGATATGAACATGTACGGCTAAGCACAACTGATAACAGTGAATCTAAATTACAAAATCAATCTCCATAATAGTCTATGTGTTCCCTACTGCCAAAGGGGCCCTTTAGAGTAGTGAGAGAAGATCTTCACCCTGAAATCTACAGCGTCCCTTTTCATCAGGAAGTAGCTAAGAGAATACGCCATCCCCTTTTCCTTATGAATCACGGTGAAGTCTCTCTCAGGGAGGAGTGATAGTGAATGGCAAAGGACACACTGACAAAGGAGAGTAATCATAACTGGCTTTGACAAGCACTGTGGCAATTGGACAATTAAAACAGACATTCAAAGGGGGGGGAAAAAAGAACAATGAACTGGGGAGGAGGGTAGAGAAAATAGTGCAACAATGAATGAATGAAAACCCAAAATCTCTGTAAATGTCCCTTAAAACTAATAAAATTAAATAATAATAAAAAAATTTTTTTTAAAAAAGGGAAAGGAATTTCCCGTATTTTTCAACTTCTCTAATCCTCTGCAGGTATCCTGCTTTTTACGAGACCTCTTTAGTTGGAGCAAAAATTCAAAAATAAAGAACTGTCACTGCTTCTTATCTCTGAAAATAAAAACAGCTGTATTATCAGTGAGCATTTCTTCAGCACAGCCACCTGTACAACGTGCTATCACCATCAGCATTAACTGTCATTTTCAAAGCAGAAACAGTAACTAGAGAAGTGTATTCTGGATAGAGACATCAGTGGCATAAACAAATGAATGCCAAAATAGAACAAGCCAATCATCATAGAGCAGCATCCACCCATCAGATAAGTGATGTGGAGTTCCTGAGTAGTACAAAAAACTTGGACACTAGATTACCAACTAAAAAGGTTTCCATTCACTCACAGGCCAGGATACTTCCAAAGATCACATCCTTGGAAACCTGAAGCAGCGTGTGTACCCTACACACAGGGTCACCAAGAGTCAGAATTTAGTCAACTCTTTATCTACAACAAGAAGATAAAGACACCCTCAGAAGAGAGTGTGGTTAACTTGGATGTCACCACAAGATGGCTAAAATGAACAACTCAACTGCTTAAAGGAAATGGCTAGCTGAAGGCATTTAGGAAGAACCTTATCTCTATTGAGTGAATAGCATATTATAGTAATATACTGAGTTCAAGCATACTATAACACTCCAAAGAATCTTAATGGCATAACGTGTAATATGTTAGGCTGCTAGTCAAAAGGTCAGCATTTCAAATCCACCAACTTCTCAGCTAGAAGACAGATGAGCAATCTCCTCCCATAAATATTTGAAGCCTTGGACTTCCCCTCCACACACACAAACACACACCCATCGATGAGCTCTATGAGAAAGAATCAGCTGGACAGCAGTGGAGTGAGTACATAACATCTCAATAATAAGCTAGTTACTGGTTCACCAAAAGAGATCCTCTAAGGATATTTAATAAGAAAAAGGATACCAATCATAATTTAAAAACAAACAAATAAAAATCCCACTCTCTTCTATGGTGTATATGCCTGAAATGGAAATACTTAAAATATTTATAATCATAATTAATGAAATTTAAAAGTTCCTCAAAACAAAAGATAATGAAAATACAATGTACCAAAACCTCTGGGATGCAGCTAAGGCAGTCCTCAAGGGACAGTTCATAGATAGGCAAACACATAAAAAGCAAAGAAAGAAGCCAAATTAATGATCTAACTCAATACCTTCATCAAACAGAAAAAGAACAATAATCTAACCCCATAGTCTCTAAAAGAAAGGAAATTATAAGAACAAGAGCTGAAATCAGTGAAAAGAAACAATTTAAATCATTAACAAAATCAGGAGTTGGTTTTTAGAAAGTATCAATAAGATAGACAAAACATTGGCAAATTTAACAAAAGAAAAAATAACTAAGGAATGACAGAGGTGGCATTATAACAGAAACAGAGAAAATTAAATCTATAGTATTAAATTATTATGAAAAGCTGTACAGGAAAGGAAGACCCTCCATGAGATGGATTGATTCAGTGGCTGGGGTAATGGGGGTGGGTATGTCAGAGACGATTAGCACAGGATAGAGCAGGGTTTAGGGCAGTTGTGCATAGGGTCTCTATGAGTGGCAGGCTCGATGGCACATAACAATAACAACAACATACTCTGATAAATTTGAAAGCCTAGAGAAAATGGACAAATTCCTTGAAACTCACACCATACCAAATTGGCTAGGACAGATGCAGAACATCTGAACAGACCCATCACGAAAGAAGAGACTAAGCAGGTCATAAAAAGACTCCCCCACAAAAAAAAAAAAGTCCTAGACCAGATAGCTTCATGGCTGAATTCTACCAAACATTCAGAGAAGATTTATTACCGATTATACTTAAAGTATTTTTAAAAAAACAGAAAAAGAAGGAACACTCCCAGAGTCATTCTATGAAACAAGCATAAGCCTAATACCAAAACTAGTCAACTATATTACAGAAAAAAGAAACTATAGACCAGTATTTCTCATGAACATAAATGCAAAAATCCTTAACCAAATCCTAGCCAATAGAATACAAAAGCACATAAAAAAAAATAATAATAATTCATCATGATCAAGTGAGATTCATAACAGGTATGCAAGGATAGTTCAACATAAGACAAGCAATTAACATAATTCATCACATTAACAAAGCAAATAACAAGAACCATATTATCCAAGCAATTGATGGAGAAAAGGCATATGACAAACTCCAATACCCCTTCCTTCACTCAGCAAAATTGGAATAGAAGGTAATTTCCTTAACCTAGTGAAAAGTATATATGAAAAAAGAAGAACCAATATAATTTTCAATGGAGAAAGGCTAAAGGTATTTTCCTTGAAAACAGGGACCAGACAAGGATGCTCACTGTAATCACTTCGATTCAATATTGCATTGGAAGTACTTGCTAGGGCAATATGACAGGAAGGAAATAAAAGGCAAGCAGATTGAAAAAGAGATGGTTAAACTGCTACTCTATACAGATGATATAATGGTGTACACAGAAAACCACAAGCACTCAACAAAAAAACTGTTAGTGCTAGTAAACCAATTTAGTAAAGAGGCAGGATATATAAGAGCAATATCCAAAAACCAGTGATATTCCTCTACAGTAACAAGGACCATTTACAATAGCCAACCACAAATTGAGATACTTGGGAATGTCCCTAACTAGAGACACAAAAAGACCTGCAGAAAAAGAAAATTACAGAACATTTCTACAAGTCACAAAAAAAGATCTAAAGAAATGTAAAAATGTGCTTTGAAAAAAGTTGTTTACTAACTATATGTAAGCTGATTTTAGAATAAATTCCCTTTAAGCTGAGAAAAATTAATTTTATACATACTTCAAAATCTTCTTCAAAACTGGTTGTATATTCATGAGCTCCACCATTTTCGAAATCACTTTCTTCCTTTTCAGTTTCCTAGAGGCAAAAATTAAACATGCAAGAAAAAAATAAATAAGACATAAGTTTCATCCTTACAATTAGGTTAAGCAAATATAGAATTTCTTAGATTCATTTGATGTTACCAACTAAAAAAATTAAATACTTATAAAGCTAACAGGACCTAACTCTAATTTTTAAGAAAAACAGAATAAAAAATCTGATCATTTATAAACATAATAAAAAAAGCAGGAAACATTTGTAAATCTTATGGCTAAAAATATGTTAAACAAATAAATTCTAAACTTCTAGTTGTCCCTCCAGACATTTTGTTTCTTATCCATGAATATGTTCCCAACTGGACGGTACTCACCTTGTCTACAATGTTAAGATATAAAGAAATGTGGGCTAAAGGACAACTAACGGTCCTGTCAGAAAGTCCTAATCATTAAAATAGAAATTAAAGAGACTCTTCATTTTAAGACCTTATTCATCCATGTCCTTTCTCCTTTTATTTGAGAGAAGTATAGGAATCTACTGCTCAGACTGTGCAGAAAAACAGTATGTTCCCAGCTTGACCTAGCTATTTTGTCAGCCTCCTCTTGTTCTAATCACTTGACCATTCTGAGACAGAACCACACTTATGACTATAGATTTACTATAGCCATGAAGGATACTGAAGAAGAGATACAGAAGACAAAAGTCTGAGTTTCCAAATCCCAAGGGACAAATTACAGCCTGCAGAGCAGATATTATCAACAACCAGGAAGCTCTCCAAGTCTTAGTGTCCCAGGCTTCTGTTGACAGCCTGCATGGTAGTCAAGATCATTCCTTGTTAGACTATTGAGCCCCCAGGTGAGTCTGGCCACCCCTTCACGCCAATACATATCTTTCAATGTGGCTGGATGCTCCACAGAACAAGGTATCACAGTTATCCCAAGGACTGCTTCTCAGGAGTCAAGCCTAAAGGGAGCTTTGGTGGCCTAGTGGCAAGAAGCTGCACTGCAATCCCAGAGGTAAGCAGTTCGAATCCACCAGATGCTCTTCTGGAGAAGGAGAGGCAATCTCCTCCTGTACTGGTCAGATCCGATTTGATGGTATACACACACACAAAAAATAATTAATAATAATAAATCTGTACACACTCAGAGTCAAGCCTACCTTCTTGTTGTTGTTGTTGTTATGTGCCATCAAGTCGCTTGCGACTCATAGCGACCCTATGTACAACAGCCCTAAACTCTGCTCTGTCCTGTGACAATCTCACTGTCTCCAACACACCCATCCCAATTACCCCAGTCACTGAATCAGTCCACCTCATAGAGGGCCTTCCCCTCCTGCGCTGTCCCTCCACCCTACCAAGCATGATGTCCCTTCTCCAAGGACCGGTCCTTCCTTACAACATATCCAAAGTATGTTAGATGGAGCCTCAGAATCCTTGCCTCCAGGGAGCCTCCTGGTTTAACCCTTTCCAGGATAAATCTGTTTGTTTTCCTAGCAATCCATGGTACCCTCAACACTCCTCTCCAGCACCACAGCTCAAAAGCATCAATTCTCCTTCTACTTAGTCACTGTCCAACTCTCGATGCATAACAAGTGATAGCAAAGACCATGGCCTGTATCAGACTCCAGAGAGACACCATTGCTCTTCAGTACTTTGGAGAGGTCCCTAACAGCAGACTTTCCTATGGCAATACATCTTTTCATTTCCTGGCTACTGGTGCCGAGAGTGTTGACTGTGGAGCTAAGCAAACTAAAGCTGTGAACAATCTCAATCTCTTCACCATCCATCCTGATGCAGCCTACCTTACTAAAGGTAAAACTAGATCCTTTAGCCTGTGAGCTCCACTAGCTTTATTATTTTTTACTGATGACTGTTTTGGAAAAGAACATTAAGAATAGAGACCCCTCTTGAAGATTACAGTAATATTTTCTCTCTTAAATAATGACATTTCCTTAATCTATCAAATTTGGCAAATACCTTGAAAATACCCGATATCTTTTGACTTTTAACTGAACCTATATTAAACCTTTTGTGATGTTTGTATTTAAAAAAATTTCCACAACCTAAGTGCCCATCAACAAACGAATGGATAGAGAAGTTGTGGTATATTCACATAATGAAGTACTACGCTGCATTGAAAAACAAGGAACTCATGCAATATTATTCAAAATAGGTGACCCTGGAGGACATTATGCTGAGTGAAATATCTCAGTCACAAAGGGACAAATACTGTATGGTGCCACTGTTGTAGAATGAGGCTGACATCAGGGTAGTGGTAAGACTGAGAAAAACTGGATAAATTATGTATACTGCACTGAAGCCGATGAGGAAGAGAACAGTTTAAAAGTAATATATTTTAGGGCATTATGATTATAACAAGAGTTCGGAATGAGGGTTGCAGAGTGGAGTATACTAAGTTGGGGGTGTAGGAAGGGGACTGTATACAAACAAAGGAGTTTTTCTTTTGCTTTTCAAGGAGAAGAGCCAAGTGGGGGTGGTGGTGGGGGCGGGGAGAAAAATGCAACAATGAATGAATGGAAATCCAAAATCTCTGTAAATGTTCATTGAAATTAATTAAAAAAAGACATTTCCCCCACCCCATTTTCTCAAATTTAAATTCAGTCAATTAAATATAATGCAATATTGAAAAGACTGGCTACTCAGTAACCCAAATATATTCTATGCAAAGGTCTTTGTAAAAGTTTTCTCTCTCTTCAGTTAAGAAATGAATTGTTTGGAGCTCTGGTGGCCTAATGGCAAGAAGCTCTACTGCAATCCCGGGGGTACATGGTTTGAACCCACCAGATGCTCTGCTGGAGAAGGAGGGGCAATCTCCTCCTGTACCAGTCAGATCCGATTTGATGGTACACACATAAAAAAATAATAATTTTTTTTAAAAAAGAAATGAATGGTTTGATAGTGTATACATTAAACTTGTCATTTTGTACTATCCATAACCAAGATTACCTTCTATATGACCCACAAATTTAAAACGAATGAGAATTCAAATTTTATATTAAAATCTCTTCCTTCTTAGGGAGTTCTGATGGCACAGTGATAAGAGAATCAGAAATGCAATTTACTGCCTCTGAAAACTCACTGCAGGACCAGCTAAGATTTGGTTCTGATATGACCACACATAACAAAAAACAGTGTCTAAAAAGAAGAATAACGCTCCTAATAAAATGGTACTATGAAAGCAATGAAACATGCATGAAATCATGTGCTTACATGTGGTCATCAAATTTATCATTTATAAGTATGCATCTTCCTTACCACATTTTCTTCATTTCTGTGTCTCTGAGCCAACATCCATACTGATGACCCTTCCTCAGAGCTGTGCTGAAGAGACAGAGCACAGCCATAATCAGCAAATATGCCAGTGAGAAAATAGAGTTACAAAAGAATGCTAACACAGTATCCCCAACAGAAGCAAAGTCACTCTGCAGTTAGCAGGCAGATGTTGACGTTAAAACACTGAGACTTGGGCCATTATCTCTGACTTATAATGCATCATGCAGCTTAAGGCAAGTAACTTAACCTCTCTGTGTCTCAAATTTTTCCTTCAAAACACAGAGACACTCAGCAACAATAACAAAATTCAACAGGGCAGCAAACAACAAATGCTGGTGAGGGTGTACAGAGAGTGGAACCTTTATTCACTGCTGGTAGGAATGTAAAATGGTGCCTCCACTATGAAAGATTATCTGATGTTTTCTCAAAAAGCCAGACAGAGACACAACCATTTGACTCAGCAATTCCACCATGGAGAATATACCCTAAATAAACCACAGCACAGCCATGTTTATTGCTACATTATTCACAAAAACAAAGAGATGAAAGCAACCCAAGGGCCCATCAACAAATGAATGGATAGAAAAAGCATGGTACATTCACACAATGGAATATCATGCAGCACTGAAAAGCAGTGAATTCACAACATGGAGGAGCCTGGAGGACATTATACTGAGCAAAATATTTCAGTCAGAAAAGGGCAAACACTGCAGAACATTGTTATAAAATAGGAAAGACATGTGGGGGGAGTTGGGGAGAGAATGGGAAAAGAATGGATAGATAATATACAATGCATTAGAAGAGAAAAGGGAGAGAACTCTCTAAAAGGAATATATGATTAGGCATTATATGTATGAGAACAATCTGGAATAAGGAGTGCATTGTGCTGTGGGTTAGGGGAGGGCAAGAAAATGTACAACAATAAAAAAAATAATCCTTTTTTAAAAAACCACAGACACAATGCCAGTAAGTAGTCAGTAGAACCAAAGAGAAGAATAAAAAAATAATGCACATAAGGCACTATCAGTGGGTTTCACAAAGGAAAAGACCATTAACATTACGGTTCTTATTTGTTGTTAAGGACCATAAAGTCAGCTCTAACTCATAACAATCCTTTGTGACGAGAACAAAGTGTTCCCCAATCCTCATAATCTCTGCTGTGCTTAAACTCACTGTTAATATTATTGCTATAAAAATTCATAATATTTTGGAAGATGTTACTCAAAACTATTCAAACTGTGTATAAAACTGGTAATAACATTATGTGTTATTCATGAGATTAAATAAAATTCTCATTGTGAATACAAAAAAATATTTTCCCAGATATACCATGGTTCTCTACATGTTCAGAAAATTATTTTGTCACATTTCAGGATCTGTATAAATGCAAAAGAAGCAAGCAAAGACGAGTTACACTGACTGGCATGTTGTGCCTTACTTAATGTTGATGTTATATAATACAAGAAGCCCAGAGAGCAGAGCTTTGTTGCTAATCCTAAAGCAGCACTTCTCCAGCGGCTGAAATCTACCAGCGCTCCTCAGGAGACTTAAGTACATCTCCTACCATGCAATTTACACACCCTAGAAGAGGCACCAGGGGGACAGCTCTTCTGAGTGGTTCTAATTCAACAGCAATCAGTTTGAAGCATAGAATCCGTAACTGATTTCATGAGCAAAAAGGTGGCTGTCAGTACCTTCCAAGATCATTTCTGGAATTTTTAAAGAGAAAAATCTTTCACATAAATTTGCTCTTTAGTGAGGGGCGAAAAAAAAGATTGCAAATTATCATATGGATTTTTTTTAATATTGAGAGCATGTGAGAAGTGATAACCTTGTCTATATACAAAATTAAAATAATTTGATGGGGTTTTTTAAACTTTTTTTAAAGTAATTAGAACTTAAAAAAAAAAGTAATTAGAACTTAATTAGAACAATGGGCTTAGGCCCAGAAGAGATTGTGAAGAAGCCTCAAGGTCTGGCAGAGTTTCATTCTGTTGGACATGTGACCCCAAGAGTTGGCACCTACCATAACACAGAATTAAAACAGCAAGTGCTACTCATGCACTAATTCTAGTGAAGAAGGCTGATAGAGAACGTATAAGAGTTGGAAAACAGAAAATAATATATTTTTATCTAAGAATTCCACTTCAAGAGATTTATTTATTTAAAAGGAAAAAAAATATATATATGGTAGATCCCTACCAAGAAAACTGCAATGATTACCACAGTAAATTGGGAAAAACAATATGCTGAGTGATGTATTTTGCTTTGTCTTTAAACTGATTTTTATTTGAGGAAAACTTTACAAATCTCACTGGTTTTTCATATAATCCTTTATAGGTATTTTGTTTTATAACAATATTCACTGCCATTGATTGAAGTTAGTATAAGATGTGCTAGTCTAATGCTATGCTGAAAGCAAGGTGTCAAACTCTCCAATACTATTGAACTGTTTCTCTTTTTAATTCAGTTTGCTTTTTGTATTTTCAAGTTTTGTTACTAAGTCCATACTTATCTGCAATTGTTATATCATCCTGTTGAATTCTTTTATCATTATGAAGTACTTTTGTCTCTAGTAAGGCTTTTTTTATCAAAAAGTCTTTTGTCTGTTATCACAACCATTACAGCTCTATTGCAATTAATATTTGATGGCTTACTTCTTTCCATCTTTTTACTTTTACTCTATTTGGGTGTTTTAAGATAAAATATGTCTCCTGTGTGCCTCCCAGGATCAACACTTAAATAACCATCTTCAATCACTTCCTTTTGTCGGCTCTGCTGTCATTGCTGGTGTTATTATACACTACAATCAATATAACTCAAGGTAAATTACCATACCTTCCTTCGTGATTCTTTATCTTTTTCATTATTCCTTGATAAATTATCTTCATGACTAGAAAGTAAAGACAAAATAAAAGTTTAGTTTTAAAAAATAAAATACTTTATAACTCAGACATAATTCTTACCATTATTTTTACACAATCAAGAACTACTAGAAATAGGCAAACTTCCAAAGCACATTTTCTCAGAACAAAAAATACTAAAATCTTCCTAATAGTTTTACTATCTCAGTAATAATTCAAAATAATAAATATCTTAAGCAGAAAAAAGGGGGAATCTGGTACTTTTTTTGACAAAACCTTTTGAATATATTTAAACATATATCCTTATCAGTTCAAGAAAATTCCTAGAGTTTTATTAGTCAATCACAAGAACTATTTGTTTAATATAATAATATTTGTCTTTTATAAAGAAATCTTTTCTAACTAAGGAGGGCCTGAAGCATCTGCTAAGGACTGTAGTTGGCAATATTAATTGAAACTCAACATCAAGAAAATGAAGATTCTCCCTCTGTGGGGCTGGTGCTTCCCTAGAGGCCTCTTGTCCCGACCCTCAAGCGCTGGGGATGAACTTCGGCTTGTCTTCCAAGCAGAAGAGCATCCAAATCATCCTGTCTCCATACCTTTTCAACATGTATGCAGAGCCGGGAGGCTGGGCTCTATGACGAGAATTGTGGCATCAGGATTGGTGGAAGATCTATTAACAATCCGCGTTAGGCAGATGACACAACCCTGCTCGCTGAAACTGACGAGGACCTCATGCACTTGCTGCAGAGGGTCAAGGACTGCAGCCTTCAGTATGGACTGAGGCTCGGTGTCAAGATGACAAAGATTCTCACCACTGGACCAATTGGCAGCGTCAGGATGGATGGCGAAGAGATTGAGATTGTTCACAGCTTCAGTTTGCTCGGCTCCACAGTCAACACTCTTGGCACCAGCAGTCAGGAAATCAAAAAGCATATCGTGATGGGAAAGTCTGCTGTTAGGGCCCTCTCTAAAGTACTCAAGAGCAACGGTGTCTCTCTGGAGACTAAGGTGCGCCTGATACAGGCCATGGTCTTTGTAATCGCTTGTTATGCATCAGAGAGCTAGACAATGACTAGGGAGGACCGAAGGAGAGTTGATGCCTTTGAGCTGTGGTGCTGGAGAAGAGAATTGAATGTACCATGGACTGCCAGGAAAACAAACAGATTCCTCTCGGAGAGGATTAAACCAAGCAACTCCTTGGAGGCAAGGATTCTGGGGTTTCGTCTGACATACTTTGGACATGTTGCCAGGAGGGACAGGTCCTTGGAGAGGGACATCATGCTTGGGAGGGTGGAGGGACGGCGCAGGAGGGGAAGACCCTCTATGAGATGGATTGATTCGATGACTGGGGTAATCAGGATGGGTGTGTCAGAGGCAGTGCGGTTGGCGCAGGATAGAGCAGGGTTTAGGGCTGCTGTGCATAGGGTCGCTATGAGTCGCAAACGACTCGACAGCACATAACAACAACAACAACTTTCACTGGAACTGGAAAATTACTCCATGTGCAACCTCACTCAGGTGATAATAAAAAAAGTAAAGAAAAAAAAAAGAAAATGAAGATTCTTACACTGGGTCAACTGGTAGCATCATGAAAGATGGAAAAGATTAAGACTGTTCCTAATTTCAACTTGCTAAATTCCATAATCAACACTCTTTGCCCAGCATCCAGGAAATTAAAAAATGAATTGCACTGGAGAAGTCTGCTGTCAGGGACTTCTCCAAAATGCTAAAGAGTAATGATGTCTGTCTAGGAACTAAGGTGCGCCTGATCCAGGCATGGTCTTCACAATTACTATGCATCGGAGAGCTAGACAATGACCAAAGATGACAGAAGAATTGATGACTTCGAGTTGTGGTGCTGGAGGAGAGTAGTGAATATATTATGGACTGCTAACAGGTCTGTCCTGGAGAAGATGAAACCAAGCTGCTCCTTGAAGGCAAGGATTTTAAGACTGTGTCTAAAATACTTTGGGGAGTTGCCAGGAAGCACCAGTCCTTGGAGAGGGACATCATGCTTTTAAGAGTGGAAGGACAGCACAGGAGAAAAAAACGCCAGCTGATGTGGATTGACACAGTAACTTGTGTAACAAGGGTTACCACTGTCAGAGACAGTGAGTTTGACTCAGGATAGTGCAGGGTTCAGAGCTATTATGCATAGGTTCGCTATGAGTTGCAAGCAAATCAATGGCACATAACAACAACAAAGAAAACTATCTCAAAATTAATTTTGTATGTTAGTTGGGACCTAAAATAAGATTTTAAGGTTTTCAAAATTCCAAGTTTAGTGTCAACATTTAGAATTTATATTCATATCAAGTCATTGAAGGGAGCTCTGCTGGCCTAGTCTGGAGGACAGTTAGCTGCTAACCCAACGGCAACTCCTGGCAGTTGCACAGTTCAATTCCACTAGCAGCTATGGAGGAGAACGATGGGCAATATCCTACTGTATGATTTATAGCCTCAGAAACCCAATGGAAGGTTCTCCTGGTTCTAACTCGATAGCAATGACTGAGTGAGTGAGTGAGCGAGCGAGCGATCCAACATATACTTGATAGTTTAAGAGACATAAAGAATTGTACAAAAGCTTCCTTGCATTTCTAATAAGTCTGCAATACAAAAATCAAGGAATTTAAAGTTCAGATTTAAGTGTTAGGTATGGGTCAATTTTGTAAAACTTTAACCTGAGTTCTCCTAATCAAGAAAGAAAACTATTACATATGGTTGTTATAAAGAACAAATTAAAATCTAGAACTCATCTTCAAAATAGACCTTACAAACAAACTCTTATTTTACTAAGATAGTAACAAAAGTCCACAAAAAATAGGCATTGCTGACATCAGTTTTACTGATGAAGAAATAGGCTCTTAGATGCTACCAATATCACAACTAAGAGACAGAGGAAGTTCTAGCAAGTCTGATACCAGCATCCTTCCTCTCATTATGACTCTACAGAGGTCTGGTTGTCAAAAGTAAATGCTCTTGTTTGTATTCACAATTCACAAATATTAATGTATTCACAAACATTGGGCAATAGGTAATTTAGTAGCATATCCAGCAAATACATCTTTTTTTTTAAATACATCTTTTAAAAAACTAAAAACTAGTTGCCATCAATCCAATTTTGACTCATAGAGACCTCACATGGATCAGAGCAGAACTGCTCCATAAGGTTATTGTTGTTGTTATGGGACGTCAAGTTGCCTATACAACAGCTCTGAAGCCTGCCCTGTCCTGAGCCAGTTGCACTGACTCCAATACACCTACTCCCATTGTCCCAGTAAGTTAATCTATCTTATCTGGGATCTTGGTCTCCTGTGCTGTCCCTCCACCTTTCCAAGCAGGATGGCGTCTCCAAGGATCAGTCCCTCTTGGCCACATGCCTAAAATACATGAGAGAGTTTCAAAATCCTAACCTACAAGGAGAAACTTGGTTTCGCTCTCTCCAATATAGATCTATTTGTTTTCTTGGCGGTCCATGTTCAAGACTCTTCTCCAGCACCACAACTCAAAGGAATCAATTCTTCTGCTGTCATCTTTAGTCATTTTCCAGCAATGAATAGCAAGTAATTGCGAAGACCATGGTCTGGATCAGGCACACCTTTGTCTTTAGACTGATATTGTTACTTCTCAGTACTCTGGAGAGGTCTCTGACATTAAAGACTGATTTTTCAGAAGTAGATAGCCAAGATTGAGTCTCCTATAGTTGGACTTGCCCTGCCAACAATGTGGACAGCATCTAGCGTGTTAACATCTTTAGCTTACAAGCGGCACATCAATTGGCAGATGTCAGTAAAAAGGAGGTAAACAATTCACTTGGAAAGGCCTTTATTTCTCAAGCTTTCCTTGTTCTACAGATGAGGTAACATTTTCTTCAACTTTGCAAGACTTTCAGACAAATTGTTTTCCCGAAGCTGATCTTTATTTCCCTAAAGCTGATCTTAATTTTCTAATTTTGTATGTTGTTGTTATGGACCGTCAAGTCAAAACAAATTTTCAGAGGCAGAAAATCACACTGGAGAATATTGTCCATCTTTCTCCCATGGAGCAGCTAATGAATTCAAACCACGTGTCTTTGGATAAGCAGCACAGCTCCTTACCATGTGGCCACCAGAGCTCCCTAATTTTATATGAACACATATAAAATAGGTAAAATAAGACCAATAATAACTTATATCATAAGTTTTCCGACCCATCACCCGTTGCCACTGAATGAATCCTAACCCATAATGACCCTTTAGGAAAGAACATAACTGCCCCAGAGAGTTTCCTTAGCCCAACAAATCAGCTCACGGGTTCCAAAGGCTGAACTCTCACATAGCAGATGAGCACATAATCACCTCTCCCACTCTTGCTGTTATTGTTAGGTGCCGTCAGGTAGAGCATGACTCATAGAGACCCTATGAAGAACAGATCTGTACCCTGTCCTATCCTGTGCCCTCCTCATTTCAGATATACACGAACCCACTGCAGCAGTTACTGTGTCAATCCACCTGGATGAGGGTCTTCCTCTCCTTCACAATCCCTCCACCTACTCAAGCATGATGTCCCTCTCTCAGGAATAACCTCTCCTAACAACATGCCCAAATTACATCAGATGAAACTTCATCATTTTTGCCTTCAAGGGGCATTCCAATTGTACCTTCTCTAAAACATAACTGTTTGTTCCTTTGGCAATTCATAGGCTATTCAGCACTTTTTTCCAAACACCACAATTTAAAGGCATCGATTCTCTTTCGTCGTGCTTATTCATTGTCTAGCTCTCAGATGTATAGCAAGTGACTGAAAAGACCATGGCCTGAACCAGGTGCACCTTAGTTCTCAAAGTGACATCACTGTTCCTCAATAATTCGGAGAGGTCCCCAACTAAAGAATTTCTCAGCACAATACATCTCCTGATCTTCTGACTGCTAGTAGCAAGTTACTGATTGTGGATACAAGTAAGAAGAAGTTGTTGACAGTTTCACTCTTTTCTCCATCTAACATTGATGTTGCCTATGGGTCCACTGGCAAGGATTTTTGCTTTCATCACAATGACATGCAATCCATGTTGAAGGCTGCAGTGTTTGATCTTCAGCAGCCCTAGTACACCTAAAATTTAATTTGAAAAGGCATCCAGAGAAAATGAAATTTATGATTTATTCTTAATTGGTGGCTAAAATTTGGTCAATATGAAAGGTAAATTTTAAATAATTTTATGAGAACAACTATACAAGGGGAAAAATATATATTCCTTACTGGCTGTTAGTTCCATCTCTTTTTGAACCAGAACCTCGACTTCTGTGTTCACCATTCTATCAAACAAACAAAAATTCATAACCATTAATGAACATAGAAGTAAACTCTGAAAAATATATTAAAAATTTAAAAACATCTACACAATAAGTATCTTTTAAAATAACTATTTTGATCATGTATTTTTTACTAAATTGGAAACAATGTAAAGGAGATGAATACAAGTATATTAAGATGGATCAGTATACATTACTTCAATAGGTAAAAGATTTAAAGGTGAGTTTCACTTAAAAAATTACAGACAAATCTGACTAGCTTATTTTATTGCTTAAAACAATAAATTTTCATATATCAACACCATAAAAAGTTACGATTCCTAGAGTTTTCAAAGAGGGAAATATTCAGATGACCAAGAGACTCATGAAGAAATGGTCAAAATCACTGGCAATAAGAGAGATGCAAATCAAAACCACAATGAGAGACTATCACACTCTAGTAGCAGTGGCAAAGTTTAACAGGAGAACAAGTAATAAATGTTGGAGAGGATGTGGAGAGATAGGAACTCTTATATATTGCTGATGACATTTTAAATGGTACAACCACTCTGGAATGAACTTTGGTGTTTCATCAAAAAGCTGACAATAGAAATTCCATATAAATCAGCTATTCCACTGCTTAGAATATACCCTGAAAAAATGAGAACTGACACACAAATGGAGACTTGTACACCAATGTTCACAGCAGCATTATTCACCATCACAAGAACATGGAAGTCCAAATGTCCAACCACAATTGAGTGGACTGAAAAATTATGGTACAGTCACATGATGGAATATGATGCTACATGCAGGAGCAATAACTGATTATATATATATAT